GCAGCGTCACCTTTAGAGGGGAATGCTTCTGGAGAATGTAGAAGTAGGGTTGTCACGATTCTAAAATGTTCAACTGGATACCGATACTCAGGAAAATATTCGATACCATTTTTGATACCACAAGGATATAAACCAAGACCCGAAAATGTAACTGAATTTTGACAGGTTAGTGTCTTTAGTTTCAAACTGACCTGTTACTGATGTTATGGTGGCCCACATTAATGACCCTAACCCTAACCCTAACCCTAACCCTGACCCTGACCCTAACCCTCCACCCTTCATAATTGTGAGAAATAAATATTTTTTTGGCTAAACTTGTTTGGACTTATTGTACAAACCTATTTAAACCTATTGAGTCAATTTTGTCTCTGGAGATCAATAAAGTATATCCAATTCAATTCAGTTCGACATCCACTATTTTAACATAATATTATGTATATAGTTTAATTCAGTGTTTGCAAGATTCATTTCACTATTTTTAAATTAATGTCTATATTGCCATGAAGCAATTAGGATTTTCTTGCCTGGGATCTTCCTATTGGTGACCTAATCAAAATGGCCGACTTGGATGTGGGGGAGTTGGATATCCATCCTTGGCTTCCTGCAGACTTGATTAATGTTGGCGTGTTGTTATTAGCCATTAGCCGCAGCTAGCCATTCAAGGATAACGTCATGTTAATGATCATAAACAACGTAAATAAATAAATCAGAGAGGGGGGGTCTCTATACTTTTTAAATGAGTATCGTATCCGGATATACTTTTTTGAGTATCGATACTTTTGACAACCTTAGGAGAATGTCAGTGAATGCAGAGTTTAGAAGGCTATAATTACCAGAACAAAAGGTAAAGAAAAATCCCAGCAAACCAGATCTATTACTGACACCACGGAGCATACCGGCGGTTTAGAGGAGTTCACCAGTCAACATCAAATCGAGCAACAATCGCCCCCCCCACTCACCGGTAAGGCCCACTTTCTTCCGGCAAGAAAAGCAGCGGTTCTTTTTCTTGTTCTTGTCTGGAGTTTGCTCACCATCAGAAGAGGCCTGCGCTGCTTCGCCCACTGGCTCTGAGAGCAGGAGGAGCAAGAAAAAAAAGAGTTTAACATGAACAGGTCAAATACTGAACTCCATCCCTGGGTGGATGTTTAATCAGAGGAACTGTCAAATAAAGTGATGAAGCATAAGGGGTGCTAAAGAGTTTGAAAACAGTTCATCATTATGATTATTTTCGTTATTTTTTTAAACACAAATTAGACATTGATCCAAGAATAAAACAAAACCGAAAATTACTTCTTTTTTTTTAAAGTCTTTATTTGGCCTTTTAACAAAATATGTAAAAAGAAAAAACAGAAATACTTTTATAATATTAATCAGTTATCACTATAAGTCAAGATTATTTTTTGTGTAGTCTTCTGCCCCCTGTTATCAGGTGTATCTGATTGTGTACAATAGGATTTTGAGCAAAGTTTTTACCATTAAATTATGCAAAAGGAGTCAGACGCAAAACATTTCAGAAACCGTATGAATCAAATATGATCCAGACTCCAGATCCAGTTTTTTTAAAGTCCACACGAGCATTAGCATTAGCATCTGTAACCCACAGGTCTGTGTCCTAACCATTAAGTTGTTATCAGATAAATCCCTGTTCAACATGAGTCTGACAACTAAGTAAATAGATAAATAACTTTAAACTTTAATACAAGCTCTGATAGGCCGGGATCGGTATCGAATAGTGAAAGTGAAAAAAAGCTGGATGGGGACATCCCTACTTTCTGTCCTCCTCTAAAAGTTGAGGCATATAAAGGCTCAACACAAACCCACCTGAAAAGAAGTCCTGCTGCCTTAAAACAAAACGTGTCCCAGCTCTCGTGGGGTTTACCTGTGCTGTTGGAAGTACCCTCCTCTTCTCCTTCCTCGGCCTCGGGTCGATCAGAGTCTACCGTTCCTGAATCCTGGGAGATGCTCATAGCCGTCATTTGTTGAGTTACGGGGCTCGGAGAGCTGGGACTGACACCACAACAAGCAGACACACGCTTCTTCTCAGTTCAAAAACACTCTAACGGCTAAGAGACATTTGCTCAAACTACATGTTGACGCGTGTTTATTTAGTCAAACTGAGAACTGTAGGTGACCTCAGTCTCTGCGACATGTTTGGAAAACAACAGAAGTTGTTTTTCCAGTCAGAAAAAAAGCAAAAACAACACAAATCACTGAGCTATTTTCCTGCAGACGTGAGTTTGATGGATCTCTGCTTGTGTCTGACTACCAGTCTGAAGAAGCTCCCTTTGAAATGCACGGGGACGGATGCCTGAGTGGAGATGAAAGGGCCTCACATATATACAGTAAACAGTGGGGAACTATCCGGCTGTTTCTGCATAGAAGAGGCGGAAAAACCTCCAAAAATTGCCCCGTAAACGGCGGAAATAAATCGGAGACAGGACTAAAAGCGCCTTCAGTTATTCCGGGCGCTTTAATGCAAACGGTTGTTTGCGTTATCATCGGAGTGATCTGCGCTTTGCAGAAAACTCATTAAAATCTAATCTTTTATCTGATGTTGCCTTCCTCACCTTGTCTGAAGTTTGGTTTATTTTTTGTTGTTGTTCTATTACAAAGTCATTAGATGTGATCAAACACAGATCGCGCCTGGCTGGAAAGACATATTCTATAATTGTTACTATTCGGGGATTATAATATTCCTGTGTGTCTGTGCTTCTATCCTGTGTCCTTTTTCTCTCAGGGGTAAAAGCGAGTGGGAGTCCTCCCTTAAACTGGTTCTGATGGCCGTCTCTAATCGTATAAAGAAGGATGTTTCATCCTCTGCTGTGTTGTGATTGTTCGAACTGAACTTCTAAACTAAACTACAACAAAAAACTCCCCTATCAGAGAAGAAAAATAAACTAGGAATCCAACAGCTTATTAAAATTACAAGCTTTTCTACATCAGAGGCTGCCGCAAAAACAACATTTTCCACATTAACTTGACAGAGTTCTTCAGTTATTTGGTAAAAAATCAAAACATCCCATGAAAAACTGACTGTAAAAACACGTAGTTAGCTAAACAAGCCACTCACAAACAGCAGAGAAACCACAATGAATCATTTCAAAGTGACTTTTTGGTGTGAACAGCGAACGGTCAGCATACCTATTCGACTGTTCCTCGGGTGGAGTTCCAGCTACTTCTGTACTGAGCTCTGAAGTTGTTCCCTCCACGGTGACACCGGCTGATCCCGGCGATCCTGAAGGCGATGTAGCAGCTGTGGGGGGGGGGAAACAGTCTGACTCCACAAATACTGCACAACCTGCTGTTCTGGCCCAAAACAGATATGCCTTTTGACTTAGTTTTAAGTATCTCTCAGTCCCTCTACACCAGTGTTTTTCAACCTTTTTTGAGCCAAGGTACAGTTTTTCATTAAAAAATCTCAAGGCACACCACCAACCAAAAATGTTAAACAAATCTGTAGCCGCCTATAGTAACACTATAGTTATTCTAATTTTATTCTCATCTTACCTTAAGTGTCATGAATAGGAATCAAATAAACACAAAAATTTATTTTGATCTTATTTCATATTTCTTCTTTCAAATTGTACTTAACATGTCCACTTCAATATGCAAAATGATATACAAAATCTAGTCATAAGGAATTATTACATGATTACGTCACCAGTCACTAGAACAGCACAGACACTCAGAAATGGAACATTATTTGCAGATAATTCATTCCCTATCAAAAAGTCTTTTTAGACCAATTAGGTGAAATAGGATGATTTTCTACAGCACACCTGACCATCACTCATGGCACACTAGTGTACCGAGGCACAGTGGTTGAAAAACACTGCTCTACACTTCCACCAGGAACGGATAGTTTCTGAGGGAGTGTTTCACTATTTTTACTCCACTTTTTTAGACGAACGCTCTTCTCAAAACACACAAAATCTGACCACATCTGTTGTGTCCGACAGTTGTTTCTACCTTTTTCTCCTGGGGGGCTGGACCGCCCCCCTCCCTGTTGTCTCTGCAGATGTTCCTTGTAGCAAACAGAGCACATGCCATTGGTGCGGGGGTTACCGTAGAAACCACATCCCATAGTGCAAAGCATTGGCACTTGCGTCTGATTGGTCTCCTGAGCCATGCTTTGACAGAGGGGGTGAAGGGGGTGGGAGAGGATAGTCCTGAAAAAGAAGTCAGTCAAAACTGTTATCAGTTCATATCTGACCACACGGGCTTCACATTTTTTGTAGCTGAAAGAGCTTTGAGGCAGCATAAAAGCAGATTATATCAACTTAGTTACATATGTAGATAAATATAAATATTCTTCTTTAATAAAGGTCTCTAACAGGGGGTCACGTGTTCAAATAAAAGTATGTCAAAAGTAATCAATTGGGTGACAAAGTCCACTTGAGCCACAAGATTTAAAAAGTACTTTCCCATACTATACATGTAATACGACCCCAATTCTATTTAAAACAACACAAGAGCTTCGTATAGAGTTTACAGTAAAAATTATCCTAAAAAAATAAGCAAAGTATAAAACTAATAATCAATGTGTGCTTCTCATATTGTTGGGCCAATGTGCAATGAGCTGCCCCAAACAGTAAGCCACGGATTTACCACAAAAACTACGCAGTGTGCAAAAAAACAAGAGGCACAAAAGGCCGCACAAAAAGTGCACTTTAACTGGCAAGTTACAGTCTGCGAAAACACGGGCTAGCTGGGACGGATTCCGCTCTCTTCCGCTCACAAAATAACATCTTTGCTCAGGATAAAGTTGCCATATAAGGACGCCAAAGTAGAAGACACGTCTGTACAAAACCGTGTCGGAACCGTGGCATAAACCACTATCGGACCACTATTTAAAATCCAGCTCAACAAGTTCCGACGGAGGAAAAACAATCGCCGTCCTGTGCTTGAATCGCTCAACAAACAGTCAAACATTAGCAAACAAGCTCGCTGGCCGTTTTTGTTCTCGTCCTCCTTTTGCATACCAACGCAAGAAGAAAGGGTCAAAACTCGCCTTTTGGCCTCCAATTACGACGACCACCGCGTCAAAAAAGAACCGCCGTGTCCTTGGTGACACACACCCAACACATCTTGTTTTTTAAAAATCGAATAAACGCTAGCATTAGCTAGCCGGCTAGCTTTAGCCGCTAGCATAACCAGCCAACCCCCCCCCCAAAAAAAACTAATGCGCCTCGCGACAGCGTCATAGCCGGTTAAAAAAAAGAGGCAACGTCCAGAAAGAGACCAGGGGCTCATCTAAGATGAAGACGGTACCTGAAATTCAAGGTATCGGAAGCTGTCGACGACCTTGAGCTTCAGATTTGAACAAGTTGAGTCCCCTTTGGTGCGCGCGGCCTCCTACCCTGCGCGAGCTCCCGACATTCGAAACAACGACCATGACGTCATCCCCATCAGCATCAATACGAGCCAACACAGCAAAGTCCAATAAGACCCCGAAAAAAACAAACAAAAAAAAACAAAAAAAACAGGGAAATATCAAAAACCACACGACACCGGAGGCTGTAGTGCGTTTCAAATTTATTCAGTAGCTGCTCAAAAGTTCACCACCTCCATCCTTAAATCCATCAGCATCCAAAAAACAGACAAAAAAACAAACTAAAATGGTGTTTTAAAACTCAGGAAATGCATTAAGGACGCCGCCTCTCACTCAGAAACACATCTAATGTCTTCTGGTGTTATTGGGCTTATATTCATTGGGTTTAGATTGAGGAATGCTTTGAATACTCACAAAAAAAGAACATTAATTCAGAGACATGAAGAAATGTGAAGTATACTTTAATATTAAAGTGACCTTAGGTACTAAATTTCAAGCCAAAAAAAAAGGACTAGTTATTTTAAAACAGGATTTTAGTTTTGAATGCATGTCATTGATTTCTATATATTGCAAATGTAGTGTCAATAACTTATAGGTTATACAACAAAACACCAATAAATGATCTGTAAGGCATTTTTGATTAGGCAAGTTATTCTCTAAAACGGCCATTTGCAGAATGCAGGAGGCCTTCAGATCTAGTTGTTTGGACCAGTTTGCTCCATTTCCACTTCTTCTGGGCTCTCGGTCTTCTGGGCAACAAAAGGTCCGACCAGCCAGTTGAGGGGTGTGTTGTGCAAGAGATATTCCATCACTCCATCCAGAGACTGTTGGACCTGGGACAGGCGAACAACAACAATCATTCATCTACCAAACACACACCTTCACCTTAATATCAGCGTTGTTTTCAGATTTTTATCTGCTTTATCAGTGCCATCATCATATAATGCTGACCTTAGATATACAGTAGTTTATAAAACTATGTGAACCAGCAGGTAGATCTGAAAACATCTGGTGGTTTCACATTAAATTAATCCTCATGGAGAGCACGTTTGCAGGTAAAATTTACAAATACGACTAGGGTTGTCAAAAGTATTGATATTCAAAAAAGTGTCGATACTAAAATGTTGTATCCGGATACGATACTCAATTATTTATTTATTTACGTTGTTTATGATCATTAACGTGACGTTAGCCTTGAATTGCTAGCTGCGGCTAATGGCTAATAATAACTCGCCAACATTAATCAAGTCTGCAGGAAGCCAAGGATGGATATCCAACTCCCCCACATCCAAGTCGGCCATTTTGATTAGGTCACCAATAGGAAGATCCCAGGCAAGAAAATCCTAATTGCTTCATGGCAATATAGATATTAATTTAAAAATAGTGGAATTAATCTTGCAAACACTGAATTAAACTCTATACATAACATTATGTTAAAATAGTGGAGGTTAAATAGGTTTGTACAATAAGTCCAAACAAGTTTAACCAAAAAATATTTATTTCTCACAATTATGAAGGGTGGAGGGTTAGGGTTAGGGTCAGGGTTAGGGTTAGGGTTAGGATTAGGGTTAGGTTTAGGGTTAGTATTAGAGTTTTAGGGTCAGGGTTATGGTCAGGGTTAGGGTTTTTTGGTTCAGGGTTAGGGTTAGAGTTTAGGTCAGGGTTAGGCTCAGGGTCATGGTTAGGTTTAGGGTTAGAGTTTTAGGGTCAGGGTTAGGGTTAGGGTCAGGGTTCTGTTTAGGGTCAGGGTCAGGGTTATGGTTAAGATTAGGGTTATGGTCATGGTTAGGTTTAAGGTTAGAGTTTTAGAGTCAGGGGTAGGGTTAGGACATAATTTGTCTTCTGATTTCGTATAGACAGTAAAGTTTCGTTTCCACCTCAGAAAACTGCTAGTCTTATGACCTAACCAAAATGGCCGACTTGGACATGGGAGGAGTTGGACATCCAACCGAGGCTCCTACAGTCTGCTCAAAATTTAAGCACTGAGACATTCTTTTAAGCTGACAGAAACCCGGTTAGAGAAAGTTTGGGTGTGGGAGCCAGCTTGCACTTTTACTTTGAGTAGTGGTAATTCTGTTGATTTGTTTGCTTATTATGAATTTGTTTACATTAGTGATAGTTTCATATTTTGGTAATATTCTTTTTGTAATTCGTCTAGTTAATTGCTTTGCTTTATGTTTACTCTTTATTTGGTAAATTTACTAATTGTAGTACTTGGGTTTAGACACCTGGGGGTAGTGGTGCGCACAGGTAAGGGTGGATATATATATATATATAAATATAAAATGGCACACACCTGTATGCACCTGGGTAGTGGACAAATGGTTAACCAGCGCAAGAGGTTTGCTCACGTAAAACAGCAATAAACTACCTA